TCCTCCTCCTGAAATTTTTTATTTGTCAACTTTTTTGGAGCCTTTTTTCAGTTATTGATTATTTTTTTAATTGATTGACATTGCTTTCAGCGTATGCCCTTTGCTTCAAATTTATTGTAAGGCAGTAGACACCTTTCACTCATTCTTCCAAAAGGAAAAGGTTGATGGGGGAAGTGAAGAAATTTTTTTAAAAACAGAATTAAAATTCCAAAGAAGCTATTTTAATGATTAAGAGAGGCACAAAACCCAGATGTTGCTCTACATACCCACTTAGGATACAATATTATCAGTCAGGAGGATGTATCCCGAAATTTAAATGCCTGAAGACTAAAAAACAGTATTTCAAAAATAAGATGGACCAGACTTTGAATCAGGACATAAAGGTAACCTAAATCCTATTTATTTTTAAATTGTTTCAATAAAAACAATAAATTTAAATTGTTTTAAAAAATTCAGTGCTGAATCAAGTTCAATTCCATGGACCCCTGTAAACTTTTGAAATTTGTGGAGAATTTTATGCATGCAACCTTGATTAGCATCATAATTTTTCCTCTCAATTTTGAAAAAAAAGAGGAACCAGTCACTTGATTCAGTACATGTACATAAAAGCGTGGCAACAGAAATATAAAAGCATTTTGACTTTAGTGCACAGATCTTGAAAAGGATTTGATCGTCATAATACTCTTTGGTATACAGCTGGTCCCCACTTTACAAAAGACCCAAACAGAAAAGTGCAAATTTCAACATTTTTGAGGGTTAAATACTGTAGTCGCTCCCATTAAACATGAATAAAAAAATTTCCATGAAAAAATGAAGTTTTGAGTTGGAGCTTTAGAGATTCTAAAAAGATCAAGGAAAATTCTAAAGAAATGATGGTGCAGAATTTTTTTTTCCTTTTTCTTTCCTATGATGATTTGCAACTTTCAGAGATGTGGATGAATGATTGGTGGGTTTTTTGCAATGTTAAAAATCTACACTTTTTGGGTGCTTTGTACTGAGTAGAAAACAGCTTGCTTGCTTTTTTTTCAATGGTTTTGAAAAGATTTCTTTTTTTATCAGTGGGTAATAGCAGCAGTAGTAAAATAATCTGGCGCCCTGGCGCCGGAAACAGAGTCTATTTGTTAAATGAATGGGGGAGGATGCTGCTTCAAATTGAATCAGCTCTCCTCCCCTAAAACGGCTGCAATAAAAAAATTTCCTGTGCCTCCTTGTATTCAAAAAAATTCGACTTAGGGAGGTTTTCCATTGAACTATTTCGAGTTAGGGAGGTTTTTTAAACACTATTTCCTAAGGAATTGGAAGGGGACTGGGGAAAAATTCGACTTAGGGGGGTTTTCGACTTAGGGAGGTTGGACTGTACTTCCCACATCCAACATAGACTCAATGGTCCAAAAATTATTTGGGAGGCATATCGAGTATAATTCTTCCACTGTTACACCTACATTTCCAGGAAAGGTTCTTATCAGAGATAATTTATCTAATTGATTACTATTTGAATTAACTCCCTTGTCATCAGGAATTTCTTCAATTAATAATGAATTTGTCAATTTCAACACGAGAAATAGTATACAGACATATTTCTGGAAGGAACGCATTGCTCAACACCACTGTTAGCCAAGAACTGAATGCATTCAAGGTTGAAACTTGTTGAATATTATTTTGACTTCCTTCTCTTGGGAGAGGGAGTTCTCTTTCCTTCTTGTCTGAGTGGAGAGGGAATTACATTATCCAAGTCCAGACCAGACATAATTCTAGGTTTTACCTGTAAGCGTTTTAACTTCACCACAGGCTGGGGTTCTTTCTTTTTCTGTCTTTTGGTGATCATTTCCTTGGTGGCCTCTAGAGGGTCACGTATTCCTTCTGGCAACCTTGACTGTCTTGGCGTGCTAGCTGCTTCTGGTTGCGCCATCATAGTTTTGGTCATCATTGGTAATGTTTCCTCATCCATGGCCATGATGGTTTCATCTGCTGCCATTGTTTCAGGAGAGAGGAAACGACCTATTTCATCAGTCACATCAGAGAATAAATTAGTTAATCTTTCTCTGAGTGTGGGTGATCCTTGCTGTTTGATTATGGTTTTGTCAGGATTGTAAGGAGAGTGATATACAGATGATTTGCCAGAAGTGGCACTATTAGGTACATATTTAAATACTTCTGTTCTTGGAGCCTTGGAGGTGTTGCTGGGAAAAGAAGATCCTCCTGCTTGGGGTTCTGTATATAATCTCCTGATGTGTTCAAATCAGTTTTTGCCATCTCAGCTACAGACTCGTCTTCAGTTTCTGGTTACAGTGACATTGTTCTAGGTTTTGATGGTTTGGAGGCTGGAAACAATTTCTGCTCAACCAAAGAGAAATTGTCATTAACATCCACAATATTGATATCTTTTTCGTCAACCAAAGTTTGAGATGGAGCAGGAGAAATAAGCCTGATATTATTTGGCCTGACATAGCTGGTATGAACTACGTCAGTCCACTCGGGATGAGCATCGTCTTGAATCTGAATAACCACTTGGTTAATTACCTCCAACACAGTATATGGACCCTTGAACTTTGCACTCCACTTTTTTCCCATGTATGACAACAAGTGTTGTCTCAACCAAACCTTGTCTCCTTTCTCATACTGAGTTCCTTTTCTATGAACATTTAGTCTTTCCAAGTACGATGCTTGTCCTTTTCAAATGGCTGATTGCGCCTTGTTTCTTAGGGACTCTAATTCCTCTTTCTTAACATCATAATATTCTCTGATGCTTTGGAATTGACTTGCATCATTTGGGCTGGAAAGCCAGTTTCTTCTAGGCTTTATCCCGGTAACAATCTTGAAAGGTGAGGCTTGCAAAGCTTTGTGTTTTGTCAAATTATGTACCCACGCAGCAAGTTTCAATAATTTGTCCCACGTACTTTGGTTTTTGGGGTCAAGGTAAAGGGCAAAGTACTTGTGCAGCTCTCTATGTGCACGCTCATTCTGTCCATTCCCTTGTGGCCTATACGCGGTCGTTGTATTTGTGAGGGCTCCTAGAATGTTAGCCATTTCCCTGAAAATGTTACTAAGGAAGTTGGTCCCCCTATCAGTTAATATTCTTTTGGGGGCCCCAAATAAACAAACCCAATCAGTTAAAAATAATTTAGCTGTAGCCTGGGCAGTGGCTTTGCGCATTGGGGAGAAAACTATCCACCTGGACAGTCTATCTTGCATAACTAAAATATATCTATTCCCCCGTTGACTGTTGGGTACTGGCCCAACTACATGAATACTCACATCTTCAAAACATTGCTTTGGAATTCCCGTACTAAGATAAGGGATTCTATGCTAGTATGCCTTGGTCCTCTGGCATATTTCACAAGTTTTTATATAACCTGCAACATCTTGTTCTAAATTGGGCCAGGTGAACTCTTCCCTTGAGGAAAATACCAAGGGATTAAAAAATCGTTCATGTAGCCTGGATCAGACTATTCAATGAACCCTTTTTCAAAAATTCTTCAATGACAGTGACATAATTGTATACAGTAGAAACCACTCCATGATGATAACATACATATACAGTACATGGTACAATATAAGTTTAGTTCTTCCTTGTGGTAGATTGCACTTCCAAGAGAAACAGTAAGTTCGCACACTCCTCGAAATACCAACGGACACGGTGATGCGGACTTACCAGGAACACGGGAACAAAGTTTGGTCGGCGGCGAAGGCGGAGGAGTTGGATGGAACAAGGTCGGACTCTGCATCAGCAATAACGACACCGACACCGCCGGCACGGACGGCGAGAAAACCAGCGGACTCCGCGGGCTGTGGTCGCTGTGCACGTCCCCACGCAGCGGCGACGTTCTCGGCAGCTCCTGCCGTCGATGGAAATGGCGTCCCCGATCAGCGCTAGCCAAAGAAGACGATGATGAAGATGGCGAACTCCTGTCACAGGAATCCCAATGCAACGGCGCTTTGTCCTTGCGTTCCCCGTGCACCAGCGTCATTGCAAAAAACAAACAACACACTTGAAACCACTGCTCGAGAAAACCCGGTAAAATTGACGCCTTTCAAGGCAATGCTACGATTTGAATCACTCGACACTTTCCGCTGACGAAATCAAATTAAAACATGAATGTACAACTGGCATGTATCACTCAGCTTCAAAGTGCATCAGCACTAGTTCTGATGAAGTGCTTCGCAGAAGAGTTTCTTCTGTTCCACTATATAAAACCCCAAGAAGGCTTCGATGCGAATTTCTTCGCGAATAACATAGTTCAAAAATTCCGAAGTTGTACTGTATTAAGAAGAGGATGTCCAGTTCCGAGGAACACTTGGTTGTCTTGGTGAGCTTCAAATCTCCGGACTATATTCATACAGTTATGCATAAATATTGAGAATTCAGTTCTTGATTTCATAGATATTCTGCCCATAAATCGATCACACCTGCATAAACAACATGATGTACCAGCGAGCAGATTGAAATCGGTTTAAAGAAGGCTTTTAGTGCTTTATGACTGTCAATTAAACCTGCCTACATCGAATAAATGAGTTTTTTTATGTGATGGAAAAGTCGAATAAAAGAACACATGCATTCTGAATTTTCCATCACTTCGGATCCACAAGAACATGCACAATTTTACCCATCCTTATGAACGAGTAGCCATCCAACGAATTCACTCATGCATCAGTTGCTTATCTGCAGAAACACTGGATTTAGGCTCCTTATCTGTGGCTCAAATTTCCAGCTTATTTTGCACTCCGAGAATGCCCAATGCTCTAATGATATAGACGCCAACGCAAATTTTTCGCGTATTACCGATTTTTTGAATCACTCGAAGAAGATGAAGTACTCAGGTAATAAATTTTCGCCCCAAAATCGGAGCTCTTTTGCATTTGCTCTCTGAATCACGCACGGAGAGGAAATTTCTTCATTTTCAACTTCGCTTTTTTTGTGAATAAAAATGATAATCTGCCTTCACTACTCGGTAAATCAAACAGTTCCGAATTCCCACAGTTCCGTGCTTTGGAGTGTATCGGTAAAACCGACGCGGCTCGATGAACATTTCACGGCAGATGGCATAGCGCACCAAAACCTCTGAAAGATCAGAATTTCATGCTGAAAAGCACCTGCATATCGACGCAGATTTTTCAGGGCAGCGACTAGACGCCTCGTGTCCTCCGAAGACGCCCCAAGCTCCTTCAGACTCGCTCGAACGTCCGAATCCGTCCGAGACATCATGGCCTCCAGCGTACTGACTCTCGCACATATTCCCTAGAAAAGCAACTTTTTATAATTTCCAAGAGCCGAAACTGAGTTCAAATCCAGGTTTCGAACGTTCCAAGATTTCATCAAGCAGTTTCTCGTAAGAGATCTGAATCCGCACGCATAAAATAGGGCAAGAGTTTGCGCTCAACCTTTGCAGTTCGAGTTCGAAGCGGGAAAGTCGAGGAACTCTGGATCCAATTTTTTAAATACTCTCGATCAATACAAGGAAGGTCGCTGAAACAGTCAGCTTCACTACAGGTTGGCTAAATTTACAGAGCTTATCAACATAACAAAAGTTTTACAAAAAGGACTGAGATGGAAGCAGGACGAATTATCGCAGAATTTTCAACCACCTCTTCAAGCTGGTAGCCGTAGTAGACCGTATTATTTTTGCATGATGTCTAATGATCGCAAAAAATTGTTCAACGTTTTCGAAACCACTACGAACTCCCCTGATGTATGCTGATCATCGAATGAAGGGCGAACAGGATGAACAGCGAAAATTTACACCAATTATTTCAAAAGACAGCCGAAGTATGCAGAACATAGCACTCGCGAAATGACGAAGGTGTTCTCAAAGCACTTATACAGTACTCATTAGTTCAACCTTCAACAATGAAGGCACTGTTTAGTTATTCCGCGTGGGATTCAAGCATATCCAAAACACGGATATACTCACTTGGCACACATCATCGGACAGGACAACGACAGATAACCAAAGGCCAAGTGCGCGTCGATTGCTCTCCTCGAACTCCGTTCCAAGTTGGAACAATAGATTCCTCAGGATCATTACACGGCTGAAGAGCTTGATTAGCTTCCCCTACGATTGAACGATGAACGAAAAAAAAACGATTGAACGTTCATAGATCATCTCCGATTCGATCACAATTCTCTCAACATGTAATGAAACTATTTCGGGTCTTCAGGATAATTACAAGGCTATTGCAGCGCAAGCCCCACAGATTGCAGACGGGCCGCACGAACATAGCTTGAAACTGAGGGGAAAGAAGATACCCAGCGACAGGTCACTGTCCTTCTCGCGGCGGACAGTATTTCTAAGATTTCCACAACATCTTCACATATGCTAGACATGAGGTTCTCGAAAATTTTTCCGCGAAAATTATACTGAAGACAACTTCCAGAAAATTATTTATGCGTCATCTTGGGGTTTTGTGTCCTGAGTTATCACAATACGTTCCCAACATTTATTATTTGGCCCTCATCAACACTTCTATTACTGTACTGTACATCACATATTTCCTAAATTCGATTCTACACCATTATTTGCCAGGGATGGCCCTGAGGAGACTGGCAAGAACTAGCGGAGCCCAATGGACTCCGCGGGACAACGTTTGACAACGAACTAGCACAACCATTCGGAACATCAGCTTGTGACACAACAATGCTATTGCTTTGAATGAGGAAGTTCACCTCCAGAGTGCGGATTTCCTGTTGGATGAGATCGGCGGTCGTGGCGCACTCGGTTCTCAGGCAGATGAGGGTATCGGCGGAGATCTTGATCATGGACATGAGAGAATTGAGCTCACTCGTTATTCCGCAAGCAGGCTTGGGCTCGTCGTCCCGATGGGGAGGCTTCCCCATCGACGTTTTCCTCATTGCCAACGCGACGACAACAGCGGGCAAGACACGACCTGGTCTTCCAACCCGCTAACCACTCGCATCACGGTTATCCTGACAGATCTTTTCATTCGCATCAGTTTTTCTAAAGGAGAACGAGCTATGTGTCCACAACTGAAGCATGGAGTTCCGCAGCTCATTTTAGCAGGGCAACGTTTTGGAGGGTACAAGACAAATCTCCGCAGAATGCCTGTAATCCACTCTGTTGACAGGACATTAACGAGAAAATGTGGCGATCTTTCTTGCTTTTCTTCAGCTTGATAAATGAACGCGTGTTCCAGTGTTTCTACTTGATGCGAAATGGGTGCAGGAGAAAATCCCGTGGGAGAAAAAATCCCGCGGCCGAAAATCCCGTGAGGCCGAAAATCCCGTAGGCCCAAAAATCTGGTGGGGTCCGAAAATCCCGTAGGTACGAAAATCCCGTATGCTAAAAAAATTATGATATTTTCTCGGAGTTTTTCTTTCCACTGCCTGGGAGGAATACTGTATGGTGAATTATAAATGGTGAAAGTGCAAGGGGTTTTCTTCCAAGGTTTTCCAAGATTTAGGAATTACCTCTCTCAATAGAACCTCATCAACGTCACTTCCTCACCTTCCTCCCAAGGAAATGTGAGAAAAATTTAACCTTCATTTGGATCAGGACTTCATCCCTGTATTTGTTTTCTATATTATAAACTGTTAACTTTTCCAATGATTTTAAGCTCTAAAAAAATCATTGGTCTTCAAAACATGAATTCTTACATTAGAAAAATGTCATTTGATCTCTACGTATGGTGATGGTATGTAAATAATTTCAAAATCATCAAATAAGTCTAATTACAGTTGTATAATGCTATTTCATTTCTTTCAAATTTAAATTGCAATATGCAAGTGTAGTTGTTTCAATATGCAATAGAAGTGAAGTTGAGGTTCTACTGAGAGACATAATTCCTAAACCTTGGATATCCTTGGAAGGAAACCCCTGGCACTTTCACCATATCATAATCTACCAAACAGTATTTGCATTCCTCCCAGGCAGTTGGAAGGGAAACTCCTAGAAAATATCACGATTTTTGAGCATACGGGATTTTCGTACCTATGGGATTTTCGGGATGCGGGATTTTTTCTCCTACGGGATTACATCATGGAGCCTGCGAAATATAGCTCAACTATTGAAGCGACTGCACTCGATCTTGAGAATCACTCCCGTTTGGAAGTCGGAACAATCAGTGAGATTTCACCGCTAATGCTGTTGTCTAACGTCACGATCATCGTGAAAACGAGCACATCATCGACGAAGTTCAAGCCTTCACAACGACCAGCAGAGAATCGAAGGTTCACTCCTCATTCCCTCAAAAGTGACCACACATACCACGAAAATTCCACACTCCTACGAGAACAAATACAGAAATTTTGACGTTTGCTTCAAGTACTGGTCACCCTGACCATTCACACATAATTTTACATTCAACGATCGGAATAATCCACTCCGCAACAATGAGAGCATCTCGAATTTCCAAGATGCCCAGGATGGCGGTGATGTATCATAGCGAGGAAGGACACACCGTTTATGTACGAAAGGTGACTTTCGGAGCACGATTTAAAACGTTTTTCGAGCAAAAATTGAACAAAAAAGGTCAAAAAAATGTTTTTAATTTCAATTATTGCTACTTTTTAGTTGTAAATGATGATTTCTACAAAATGTTTGAATACGTTATGCACCAGTTCTAGTAGAGCAGAAGGGACTCCCATCAAACCGAGCTGTGGACAGATTAACGTACAGATCAGCTACAAAATATCGGACCATTCCCTTCTTCATAGAAGATAACAGAACATTACCCTAACGTCAAGCAGTCTTTGTATTCAGTTCATTGTAAGAGGAAACGAAGATATTACGGTACTTCGAAATGAAAGGTGCAGTACTTACCGATCAATTATCAAAGAAGCAATGCTTTATAGAACGCATTTGAGTTGCTGTCTATATACAGTATGGAAATTTCATACCTCCACATTGGTTAACTCCGCTACACGGAAGGGTTGGTGTTGCAAATGTTCCCCGCATATATGTTCTCATCGATTGCGTGCTGGATGTGATGCATTAATTGTGTGCATGGATCGACAGCTACGAGTCACTCCTGAATTGTAGCTCGTGAAATATTCAATTCTAGTGAGGTTAGCAGAGCACGAATAATTCCAGTTGAGACACCCTGAGTTCGGCAAATCTCGTCTTTCTTTCTCACGTAAATAACAAAAAAAAAACGAAGATGCGAAAATGGGTTCATTTCCTCTCCAACAACAATCATGATAAACAGGGAAAAGCGCACTCGAGTAAAATAAATCTTCCCGCACAGCTCAGCCTCACAACTCAGTGCTCAACTCCTGACTGGATGCACCTTGGACTTGGCCCGCAGCTGCAGGCACTCCAATACTAGCACACAGGCTTTGGTTCACATAGTCACTACTCTGAAATGTACACATTTGAATCAGTGGTAATCATCTCTGTGACTCAAAAAAAAACTCAAAACATACTTTGTAGTACTGAGAATTTCTGGGTTGGGGTACAGGCATTCTGCTCGCCACATACCCAGAATTGATGCCTCTGTAACCAACATCCTTTCTCATGGTTTGTTGAGTGTACACAGGGCTATAATGAGGCACTTCTCCAAATCTCGGATAATACTGGAAATACGGGTGTGGGGGAAGGTTCTGGTAGTTGGGGCTTATGGCGGAGGGGGGGAGTCACTAGGAGTCTGGTCTTTCTGAACCCTTTCAGACACTCCCAGACTGAACGAACAAATAAAACACTTTTAGTGCAAACTTCGATCGAAGATGTGCGAACTTCTGCAAACCTTGGAAAGCCCGGAGTTCCCACCCCTTTTTTCACGTAGACCTTTTTGGCCTGAGGCGAGTAATGGATCTTGAGAGGGCGTCCATTTGTTTCCACTTTAGTGTACGGGATGTCCCTCAGCTGGTCCACGGACATTCCGTGCTCACTTGGGTCCACTAGATTGAAGGCCATATGTTGTCTCACCTGCTCTGGTAACAGTTGGTTTCTCGCTCGAGATGCAGCAGCCCCAGGACTCCTTGATCTGGAACTACGGGGAACATATAATCACAGTCAGAAACATTTAGGTTAGGTGTTGCTCATGGCGCAATACGCCAGTTACAGAGACCTTCTGCGGATTGAGATCACAAAAAAGATACTAAGCAGGGAGAGTTTCCCCAAGGAAACATTATTCGGCGATTGAATTCATAAAAATTGGACAGAAGCAAAAAAATTGGACAAAAATACGAACAAACGACAAAATAAGGGAATACAAAGAAGTCCAACTTGATATTTAAATCAGAGGAGCTGGACTGAAATACAGTAATTTCAAGATGAAAAAACTTCGCACGAATTGATTTCGTGACTTTATTTCAAGTGCCGGCTTCTTAACCCACACGGTCTGTATTTTTTCCGATCGAATGTTACAATTTGTTTCATGCTGCAGCAAGTTCACCCATAAGAATATCAGACGCCGATATCTTTAAAATAAACTTTACTCCAATCGAGTACAATACTGCGATTCTTTCGAGGAGGGTCTCACCGATGCGTCCTCCGGATTCTCTGCTCCACATCATGGCCACTTTCGGCACTCCTCCAGACTTCATCCTCTGTTTTATGCTTTCTGAAAATTAAAAATAAAGATAGCATGAGACCCTGATGAAATTTCCCGGAAGCAAGAGATAATTCCACTCACGAAGCATCCACGTTCTGATTCGCCCTCCGTTGGATAGCCTGCGGATCTGAGAAATCTGACTCAGACTCTTTTCCACTCATCACATTCCTACTCGCTCTATTCTGATAAAAATGGTGATGTCGGTTGCTGACCCCGGATCGCGTTGATTTCTCACTTTCGTTGTCGGAGTTATGTCTACTGGAATGGTGATGGTGCCTATATTTAGGAACAAAAAGGACTCAACAGATATTTCCCTCATATCCAGAGTCTGAAAAAAATTCAAACCTTTTGCGACAACGCCTGGAACTGTCGTTGCTGGTGATGCTGTCCACGCTGGAACTCCTACCCAATGTTTGCTCACTTTTGTGTAAGCGTCTGCGACTGACTTCTGCTGACCTGATCGATCTTGGACTCTGATTGGAAAACAGACCCCTTTGAGAGTTCCACCTAGTCCCTGGCCGACTGCTTTGAGGAGAATCTGGCAAAATCACACTGGAATCCACAAAAATGACATGATTACCACTTTACAAGCTCCAAACTTGACCGTCCGAAACTCAGCTAACCTGTTGGCTTTTGGCTTCGGTACAGAAAGAAAAATTCTCGGGAGAGTGGAAGAAGATCCAGTCGACCCATTCAAGGATCTGAGGTTCTCCTTGTTATCACAAGCCAATTCACTGTCAGAAAACGATGGGTCTGGGGAAGAGAAAGCTATGATATTCCAAAAACAAAAGTTTACATTCTCGTAACTCACTCCCTGATGCAATTCGACGCTGTTTCAAATAATTCTGCCGCTTGCTGACCCTCCTGGGGAAATCTGGAGGCGGCGTCCTGGCGTTTCGTTTAGCATCCTCCATGGCTTCTTTCTGCGTTCTACCACTGAAATCATTGCAACAACAAAATTTGTAGGACACTGCACACTCGCACGATCCAAAAAAAGATTCACGAACCTGTAACGAAATTTCGAGACGAAAGAGAAAGCCTTCGTGGTTAGTTTCGGCGTGGCTGGAGGTTTGTTTCCCAGGCCCGTTGCAGGCCCTCCCCCGGTGAGTCGGAAGAAAGCATGGTGCTCCACACAACACCTCCACAAATGCTTGCAAGCTTGTCTCGTGGGCAACTCAAACCCGAACGTTCGTTCTTGCGAAGCACCATCTTTCACTCTCAGCATGAAATATCGGCGTTGAAAGTAGACTTTTGAAATTCTGGGCCAAAAATAGTAGCCAACTTTGGACTTGTTCTTTAACACCAGGACTCCGCTCGGCGTCAGGCCCACGAAATACTCAATATTTCCTTCTCCCTAACATAGCATCAGGGGCAACAATCAAAAATGAGAAAGGGTCTCGCACTAAAATGAGTTAGTCACATCAAACATTACGTCATCGACAGGGTGAACCAGAAAAATGTGTTCCAAATGGAAACGCTTCAAAAATCACAATGCTAAAAAAACTACGTTAAAAGCCAATGGTTGTAAGGTAAGTTAACGAAAACTTTAAATAATCAAAGTAGGAAAACAGACATTGTCATGCCAACAAGCGTAGTTTTAAGTCTCTTTTAGCTGGAGACTTTTTCATCTCCCGTTTAAAGTAAGTCAACGTATGCAATTGTATTGGAATAAGAACTTCGAGGAAACTTCCTATCCTGCCTACATAAGTCAAAATTGTCCACAGAAGTTCGGAAAAATTAACAGAATCTTGTGGCATAAAATTTTTAGGGAAGCAGTCACGTTCAAAAGAGACTGCAATTTAACGAGACGGCTTCCTTTCCTTGTGTAATTTCCGGGATATTTTTTTAGAGAATCTCTGAATTCAAAAAAAAGTAAATAAGTTGGAAGAATTCTCTCGTCCAATTCAAAACGGAGAACGACTCCGAGAAACAGGAAACGTGCTCAAAGAAATTCCGATAATTCAAATGATCTCGGATTCTTTCTCTGAATTCAAAAAAAAAGTAAATAAGTTGGAAGAATTCTCTCGTCCAATTCAAAACGGAGAACGACTCCGAAAAACAGGAAACGTGCTCAAAGAAATTCCGATAATTCAAATGATCTCGGATTCTTAATTATGCAAAAATGAAAATCGGTAATCCTTGAAACAGCTAGGTAAATCGATAATCTGAAGCCATTGTCGACTACGCTATAGGGAAGACTCTAGCTTGGAGGATGACGAAATACCAGACAAGCACAGAGAAAAAGGAAGCACATTTCATTGAACCGAACATTTCGAAACCATGTAGCAAAAATCTCGTGCAAACACGCTGTCCTCGCCTGCACATGATTCTCCAAAATAAAAAGAGGAACACGCGTCACCCTCGTTCACAATCGCATTCCGAATCTGAAGAATGCCACCACCACGGGATCGACTAAGTGGCTACTTGTTCATCTGATCGTTCAGCAGAAAACTCACCATGACCGGGTGCAAGTCAACACCATACAAGTCCAGCCATTTAACCTTCTCCAGAAACTTCATTTCCGCAACAGCAGGAACTTGACCCCTAAAATAAAGGCCCTCAAATTCATACGAATTCTCGATACATTTCGCAAAACGAACAAAAAAACTCACAGAAGTCCTCTATGTAACTCGGCGATTTTCTCCTCCAATTCGGCAGTCTGACTCGGAAACAGTCTCAATTCCGAAACATAGCCCGCCTGATGTCTTTTCGGGTCATAATCGCCCANTGTCCTTTTTCATCTACAAACTTTTTTGCTGCATTTTTTTTACTGATAAACTTCAACTTGTATCTTCATTACTTCATGATGACTGAATTTTTGTTCATGGAATCGTAATATTCAATCTGCATAACTTTTCAAAATGATGCAACTGAAGTCCAAAAACAAATAAGCAACTGGCAACTGAAAATTTGGAGTGATTTTAAATGTTGAGACTACTTTTGGCTGAAAGAAAAATAAAAGCCTGTGTTTTGGAAAGTAAAGAACTAATGTGAAGAAATATGGTCTCTAATGATTTCACACAATGCATAACATTTATTTAAAATTTAAAAAATTGGTCTATGTACAAAGAAGCAATAATGATTCAACCTCCCAAAACATCAAATGTTCAAGGCCTTTTTGGGATGGTCAAAGCCAGGATACGTTTCTGGCATGAAGTTAGGTGATGTGGGGGATTTTTCATGAAGTTTTTATTAATCAATGAGCCACTTGAATTCACATTTGGATCTAGAATAAATCCAGACTGACAATTTGAGACAGACATTTTTGGAGACAATGACAATTTGAGACAGGAACTTCTGGAGGCAGGGATTATTTGAAGTAGATACATTTTGAGGCGGGTACAATATGAGACATTTTGAGATAGAAGCATTTTCAAAAATAAAGTGGGGGGATCTGAGGACAACCAGGAAGTGTGCATTTGAAAACTCCCTAAAAATCACCAAGAATCTGAAGAAACCCAGAAAGTGTGTACTGTATGTATAAAAATATATCTTGTGTGCAGAGTTGCTTTGGGCAAGGCTCAAATTTTCCTTGCCTCTAAATGTCCATGTCTCCAAGTGTCCCTGTCACTGAATTGCTGAGGCTCAAATTGGACCTCTGTCTTGAATTGGCCCTCTGTCTCAAACTGTCCCTGTCTCAAATTGACCCTGTCTCAAATTGACCCTGTCTCAAATTTTCAATCTCAATCAGCCCAGTGTTGAATTGTCTTTCTCAATTTTTTCATGTCACATATGTATTTTTACATGATTCTTTGTTAATATGTTATTATTTCAGGCTATTGAGAAAATTAAGCTACTGTACATCCTTCCCCTATCAAGAGATGCAATTAAATTTAAAAATAAACACAACAGAAAATGCTGGGGTAATATTTAAATTCCAAGATTGCAAAACCCTGCCCTTTCATTTGATAAACAGAACCACTGACATCACAAATTAATCCATACTGTTCTATTGGTCTTTCTTGTCACAAGGAATTGTTACAATATTTGTGAAGCCCTAATATAATTCCTAATCAAAATTGCAGACTGAAGACGTCTTGAAAAATTTGCAATATTTACTTTTTATGGTCTTAATTTTTTGGTGGTAAACTTTCATGCTGTCTTGGCGGGCCAGATTTTAAGCCTCCACGGGACAGATCTGGCCCGCGGGCCGTATCTTGGGCACCCCTGATATATAGTACTGTACAAACATTTCCTGACACAAGAATATGGGAAAAGGTGCTTTACATGTTACAACTGCGCAATAAATTACTCACTACCATAACTTACAGCAAGATGACTTAACCTAAAACCACGCTCATCCCGAAAACAAAATTAGGCAAACATACAGTACTTTTGTATCAAAATATGATATATGAAAAAAATGTGCCGTATTACATAATTTGAATAGTGGTAGCCACCATCTTGAGAATAACAGTAAAGGGCCATATAGGACGGAGGAAAAGTCTCTGTGGGTCAGATCTGGCCTGTGGGCAGCATTTATCAAAGGGATGACCCATTAATTGAAAATTCTAATTGTATTTGGATACCATGAACTAACCAACTTCTTATCATTGCATTCTATGAGAAAAAATGAATTTGGCTAACGAACTCGAACAAAGGTCGACTGTACATATCATATATAGTACTGTACAAACATTTCCTGACACAAGAATATGCGAAAAGGTGCTTTGCGTGTTACAACTGCGCAATAAATTACTCACTACCATAACTTACAGCAAGATGACTTAACCTAAAACCACGCTCATCCCGAAAACAAAATTAGGTGCAAACATACAGTACTTTTGTATCAAAATATGATATATGAAAAAAATGTGCCGTACTGCTACAATACTAATGCAGTAACATTTTTTTAAAACAAAAACCCATTACAACAAATTTTTCCAGCATAAAAAACTTGTTCTCGAGTCCTTGCAGAAATCCCATATATTACATGCTAAAATTAAAAGTAATCCCATCATAACAAACTTCCTAAATTCAGTATTACCCGCATTTTGAGGAATGTTCAATATATTCTCCAGCAGGTAGAAATATTGACAGTCTGAAATTTCCACTCCCAAATGTCACTGACTGATTCTTACATAGCATGGATGGAAGCTGTAAACAATGACATGCCAACATCCTCGAAGAATCAATATATTGGTGCAATTGATGGAATGCATGATTGTTCATCAAAGCTAATTTTTTCTCCAGAAGACCATTCAGTTTTGTAAACAAACAAAAATCTGAGAATAATACCAGATAATCAAGATCTAATTGATTATAGGCAGGTCTGATGTGAACATTTTTTCCAGTCATTAATTTTGAAAATATCATTACACAAAAGTATTCCATATTATAGAACAAACTTGTTTTGCTGTCCCTAAAAGTTTGTTGAAACGAGATTTCACTGTAGACGGGGAAGCTCGAAAGAACAATGAACGAAAGATTAATTAATATTACAACACTCACTGTCTGACCAGTTCGGTCTAAATATCTCAGCCCGAAGTACGGAGTCTCGAGGAGGTTCAGGCGTTTAAACACTTGGTCCAACACCTCTCCGCCCTTCATATCCGTCTGCATGAGAATCAAGAAATTTCAGCCTCAAATCCGATTTTCAAAACAGAACAAACAAAAAAAGAAACCCAAAGCTTACAGAGATTTCATGCACGATTTCCGTGTCGTCGAGGAGCATGATCTTGACGAGGAACAAATTGCCGCCACGTTTGTCGGCGGGTTGCGGCGCATGATCGCCGCCAAATATCCGGAGCCACTTCATGGCAGCATCGATTCCCGAAGCCCCACAACACCTCAAACATACACATACACACACACACACAATCTCTCAAAGGAGCCACGGGCACATAACCCTCAATGAACGAGACTTGGCCTCGGGTTGTCGGCCGACTGGCTCGCTCAACACACACAGCGCACTTATTAAAGCAACTAAGCCTCGGCCCGCGCACACCGGCCGTTTACTGTACGGGAAAATCTGCAAAACGAACCACACAGTACAAATCATTATAGCGACTACCCGACTCGACATCATGCGCAAATCATAACACTGATGGTCGCACAAGCCTATGCAAAAAAGGTGTGCAACCCGTGGTCCGCGGAAAATTTTCTCCAGCGTGATAAATTCATCAAATGTAGAATATAATGAAGTTTGTTATCTTCAACTGAAATTTTGGCAAGATCTGATGAAAAATAAAGGTTGGCTTTTTAACACTTCAGACAAATTTTCACCTGGGAGTAATGAATTTTTTCGAATTTTCATTCTGAGAAACTTTTCTTGAAGCCCGGCGTTTCAACTTCCAGAAGACATTCCACTAAAGCTGCTTTATTGGTTCTTACCTTGATTTTTGCCACGGAAGTTTCATTCTTTATGGCAGTTATTAAAAAAAAAATTCTGCTAGTCCGCAATAATATCATGGAACTTCGCCAGTTGGCGAAAGAATTTCGTGAAAATTTTGATGGTCCGCGGGTCCAAAAAAAAAAAAGGTTGGAGAACACTGCTACAGCTACAGCATTTGCGCAACCACCGAATGCTCGAAATTTCTGCGACCCTTGAATAGGAAACCTCTCTGCTGCAGGCTGATGGGAAAAAGGGAAGCTGGTTCACAGGAGGAAGAAGCACGCGAACACTGAGTCACCATCGTAACGAAGAACACTTTTACTTTTCGTTCCGGTTTCATCCGCAAATGGGTGACTGTCATGGGAGGCCTTGGACCCTGAAATCAAGTCATGGGGAGTGGTGAAAATGGTGCATGCTTGGGATATGCATGTATTTCCACACAGTGACCCTGCTGTGCTCCTGAAGTGCACTGGATTTTTTTCTTTTGCACATGCATATGCCAAATGTGCACCATTTGTGTTATCACACTTGGGATATGTCTGTAGCCCTGTTGTAGAAGTGCGGTATCTCCCAGGTGTACACCTCCTTTAACTTTTATGCTTACTACAATAAGGATACTTTTGTGACCCTCTTGTCTCTCCACAGAAGTAGCTGTAAATGTGTACCATCTGTATGTTCATACCTGGGATATACCTGTAACCCTGGTGTAGAATTACAGTGTCTCCCATATGAAGACCTACTGTAACTTGTCTGCTAACTACAACAGGGTTACATGTGTGACCTTCTTGTCTCTTCACAGGAATAGCCCCAATGTGTACCAGCTGTGGGCTTACCCTTGGGATACATGATGCTTTTGTAACTCTAAATTGTGTAGAATTATTTGGATCACAGCTGTGCACCTACTGTAAATTGTACAATTTGTTGCACATGAGTAGCCCTAATTGGGCATCATGGTATCTTGTGCATTCTAAATTTCTAATGGGAATCTCATTTGGTATAATAAAGTGAAACATGTTCATTACACAACAATGATCTCATTTTAATGAAAATCTGGGAATAGTGAATATTTTCTGATAACAAACATTTCAGTTATAAAGAAAACTCATTATAATTGAAATTTTTGTTAGAAGGAATAGTTCAAGGAATAGTTCATCATATTTAGTTATGACAGAGTATTTATTATAACAAAAAAAACTTTTGTTATGACAAAAACAAATTTTTCTTATAACAGACATTTTTGTAATTAGGAAAGTTTTTTGTATCTTGGTATAATAAATTATTTGCTATAACAAATAATTTTAATTCTAATTTTAATTATTTGCTATAACAAATAATTTTAAGGCAAGAATCAAACATTTGTTGTAACAGAAATTAATTATAACAAAAATTTGTGCAACAAAAATTCTTTTTAACAGAATATTAGTTACAACAAAATTCTTTATAACAAATGATCTGTTAAAACAAATTTTTGTTCTGTTATAACGAATTTTTGTTCTGTTATAACGAATTTTTGTTACAACAAAAATTTGTTATAACAAAATTCCTGTTAAAATGAAAATTATCTATAATTTGTTAGTACAATAGTCACACAAATACTCAAAGGGACCCAAGAAACGCGCTGCAGAATAAAAAACAATGCATCGTATCGAGATTTTCTATTATTAAAAATGCCGATTTGGTTTTAAAGCAACAGATCAATCCGATCTAACCCAAGTTTCTTTCTTGAAAATCAAAATAATACTGTGCTCGAAAAATAAACAAAGCTTTCCTGTAAAATAACACATTTCTTAAAGCATCAGTAGTGCAGTAAAAAATATGCTCCAGTTGAAAAAAATAAGTTCAATCACGTAAAAACAAGGAAAGCAAACAAAAAATAGCATGAAAAATGCCACAAAACGCGTTCGACCCTGGCGTTTCTGCTGCCTCCGCAGGTTTTCTCACGCACTGTACCCCAAAAAAGAAACTATTCACAAACGGTTTTCAAATAAAGTTGTAAAGTTACAGGGTGGATGAAATATTTCCCAGGTTGCTGCTGGAACTTATCTAACTCATACAAAAACCGCTTTGTTGCAACAGGTAACTTACAGCATCATTTATTCTCAATAGTACTAGAGAACATCAAGAGTCTTGAAGTAAAATATTTTTGCAACAAAGCTTTTGGGACCTAAAAAAAAAGCTGTCATTATGACACAAAATTCTTCAAAATCAATGAGCTTCATCAAGTAAAATTATGGCTGTACAATAGGGAACCTAAAATTAACCTCCAGTTGCACAAGCTGATGGTGCTTGGTTGCTGGTTACCATTTATCTCATCACCACAGCCACACAAGGTTTGAGATGGTGCAAGCGGATACTTCCTTAGTATGGCTGTCTCAAGTTTTGATGTCGATCACTACTGCTCTGCAAGTGTGTCAGCAAGTAAAAGACAAGGTTTGAGAAGCATTGGCTTGGATGCATTGGGAGATGTCTGAAGGACTTTTTTTGCAGGTCCAGGCCTTCTCACAAGACATCGACTTCAACTTGAGAATCAGGAGAGGATCGTTAAATTGAGGAAATTTCCTACTCAAAAATCTCGTGCAACATTTTTCTAATGTGTTACGTAGTCTTCCATGAAAGCAATTATTGGATTTTGTGTATTTCTGCATTAGCTTACAATCAAGTGGCATTTTTTCAAGTATGAATGTTTTTCTCAGGGTTCGAGTTTCTGTGCATGTCTCCTATTGCAGAAAATAAACCCGACTTCTTGTAGTGGGTTTATGTCGGGGGAAATCGTAAGAGTGAGAAATTTCCATTTCTTGCAGTGTTAGTGTTGCCTGCGTGAGAGATCGTGCCCCGACACTTCCATGTGCTATATGCGGGATAGCAATCAAGTATGGGAACCTAGATCTTAATGACATTTTAGAAACTGTGGCGGTGGGAAAGAAATTCCAGCAGAGAGATGATTACTCTGACCTTTGGGGAGATTCAAAACGTCCCTCCCCCCACCTTCCCCATTTGGATTCAGTTCTTTCCCCTGTGGCTTGTTTTTCTGGATCACCAGGGGGGTTGCCAAGGGTGGGAACCGCAATTTATGCTGGAATATTATGACCTCAACCCACCGATGTTTTTCTCTTCACTCAGGCTTGCCAGCAAGTGGAGGAAAATATCAATGCGCTGTACTGTACTTCAATTAGTTTTTGGAATTTTCAAAACTTGTTCAAGGTGCTTCCTTTACTTTAAAATTACTGAATTTACTTGAGGACCATGTGCACATCTTTCTTTAAATTGTGAGGGGGAAATGCTTGTGGGTCATACACAGGAAAACAATTTTCAAAAATGTTGCCATCTAGGTGTGTGTCATGCTTGAATACAGTGGAACATTTTTGGCAGGAACTTTTAGAATAAGAACATTTGGATTCATTTTCAAATTTGGATTTTGGTGTCTCTTTTTTTTAATATTGTAGTTTTTCATTCATTAACAATAAGGTGTGCATGTTTTACTGAGGGATACGATTTCATCAAAATTTGAGGGAGCACAGCTGTGATTTTTTCAAAGGGACACAGCATTTGCTTAAATGTATTACTCATGTTTAGTGGGGTGAACCTGAAAATTATATTTACACTGGAGGAGTGTGAAATTCTGTGCGTGTGAACCGAAGACCATGATTTTTTGTTCGAGCCTTATTCAATGCTTTGTGTGTCATGCTTGAATACAGTGGAACATTTTTGGCAGGAACTTTTAGAAGCAGAACATTTGGATTCATTTTCAAATTTGGATTTTGGTGTCTCTTTTTTTAATATTGTAGTTTTTCATTCATTAAGAATAGGGTGTGCATGTTTTACTGAGGGATACGATTTCATCAAAATTTGAGGGAGCACAGCTGTGGTTTTTTCAAAGGGACATTGCGTTTGCTTACATGTATTACTCATGTTTAGTGGGGTGAACCTAAAAATTAGATTTACGCTGGAGGAGTGTAAAAATTCTGTGCGTGTGAACGGAAGATCATGACTTTTTGTTCGAGCCTTATTCAATGCTTGTATGCTATACAATAATGCTTGTATCCTTATTAAAGCTTCGATCTCTCGTGCTGAGCTCTGCATAACCGATTTTTTGCTAACGATAATTGATTGCATGATTGAAATTGCAATTTCTGTCTCGAAATATTGCTAGGGATGATTTAATGTATAAATACATGGGCATTTTTCATTGGGTTCATAGCGATGTCCCCTGTCCTCGTGATTTTTTAGAAGCACTGCTGTGGTTCAGAACTGAGCATTAAGCCCAAATACAGCTTTTCGCGTTGTCGAAATATTTGGCGGCGTTGTCAGCGATCAGAAGAAATGCAGAACTTTAGAAGGGGCATTCATGGCCACTATAGTTGCTTTTCGTGAGCAACAATTATGAACGACCTTCTCTGACGTTTTAATTGGGTTGGTTTGGGAAGCCTCGCGAAAATAATTTTCTTTCTAATTGCGTCTACTGTAAAATGTGTTGCGGTCATTATAGTTGCTTTTCGTGTGCAACAATAATGAACGACCTTCTCTGACGTTTTAATTGGGTTGGTTTGGGAAGCCTCGCGAAAATAATTTTCTTTCTAATTGCGTCTACTATAAAATGTGTTGCGGTCAACGCGCGAAGGAGTGCAGTTACACTACTGTTACTTTGTATATTAGCCAGTTTCAGCCTCAGAAAATTGAACTGAGACTTTCCGGAT